GGAGCATCTGCCATTTGCTGTTTTCTCAGGGAAAAAAAGATGCCGCTTTTTCAAAAGGAATTTGCAGACTATATGTTTGTTAGTTTGTCTGTATTTCTGTTTTAGCCTTTGTACTCTGCTTATTTTCAGATCAGAGGAGCATCTGGCATTGATCTAGACTTGCTGGCATGGCTTTCGCGTCCCTTCACAGCTAATACTTTACCCGACTTTGTAAAGACTTGAGGTGCTGGTCTTACACAGTAACAAGATAGGCATTGAAAGGAGACATGGAGGTGGCACACAGTTGTAATCTCAGGCCTCAGGAGGCTGAGACAGGAGGATTGCTGAGAGTTTGAGGACAGCCTGGGTTACCTAAGTGAATTCAAAGCCACTGTCGGCTACATAAACAAAGTCTAAATAAAAAGTTGGCTATTTGGAATCTAAATTACCTCATGTGATTTTGAACTTGAACCTGTTTCATTCTTGGACCATCACCTGGTCCTCACAAAAGAGTACCTCTGCCTGCTGGTCCGTATATCCCTGCTTGGCTCAGAAAAAAATTGCTATGATGTTATGCAAACAAAGGCCAGCTTCCAAAGGGACTAATACTGCCTGAGTTTTGATGTGTAGATGGAAAGTGGTAAAAGAATTATCCTGAGATCAGGTATAGGTGTGTGTGTGTGTGTGTGTGTGTGTGTGTGTGTGTGTGTGTGTGTGTACTTTGACTTTAAAATCTGCTAATTGTCTCATGGTAATTTAAAAGCAGTGAACTGTTCTGATAAAAGTCAGATTTTTCTCGTGTTTTGGAACATCAGAAGAGCTGGCTCTGGTTCAGTGTGGTGCTAGTCCCTAGCATGGCAAGGGGGATGCTCGCTTTGAGAGGGTAGGGGTGCAGGTTCTCATTCTCTCCACACCGACCCTCCTTCATTGGATGCCCGCACACCTCGGCCAGGTGGAAGCTGTGTCTGTGAGCTCACTGTGGGCCTCGCTTTCCTGTCTCTGTCTGCAACACTCTCTCATTTCCCTGTGCATGGGAGCGCACAAGGCCTACCCTCAACTTCTGATCACTGTGTTGGCTGCGGAAGGATTTTCTGTTTACTTTCTGACCTCCTTTTTGGTTGAGAAGTTAGAAGTTGCTGCACATACACAACTGAAGCCTTCCATACAGGACAGGATGGAGAGATCTGGCTGGAGCCTGGATGACTCAATCAAGCCAATTCTTTTGGAGCTTCTAGGAACAAGCAGGATCATGCAGGATTCAACCTGTGCCGGAGTAGAGGCTGGGAAGAGTCTTTGTGTTGTATGTCATGGGAGAGCTGCCATGATCAAAAATTAATTCTGCCTTTCAAAGTAACCAGCACAAGGAGATAGAGGGCTCCTAACAGAGAAATAATGGCAATTGAGCAATGAAAATGTGAAATACTCTGATGTGGCCCTATATGATATGGGAATATGCTGAATGGAAATATTGTGCCCTGCATATCTAAATATTATGTCAGTGGATAAATAAATAAGTGTTACTTTGGTTTATAGCCAAGAATGACACCCAGATTCCCAACCCTCTTCTGCTTTTGTTAACTGGACGTAAAGCCTCTAAAAAGTTAATGAGAAGTCAGTCCTTGCAGGGTGGATGGTCCTATGTCTGCCTCCTGATTGCTTAGTTTCTGTTAGTGTGTGGGCCCATCCACGTGTGCTGTTAGTCTTCTTCTGTCTCTTTTGTGACCATAAAGGTTATCCTGAACCACAAAGAGGCGGGATACAAAATATTCACTTGAGGAGTTTTTAGTAGTTGTAGCCAGGTAGAGTGGACAGGGCAGATACAATGCCAGTTAAGTGCTCAGCTCTCCCAGTCATTTGCTAGAAGAAGAATGTGTGCTTGATTACCACATAGAACAGGCAAAACAAACCTACTGCTTAGGCTAGTCACTAAAAGACATCACAGATTCCTCTCGGTCCATTCAGCAGAGCCAGGGCAGACATGCTAGCACAAATAACAGAAGGGCTTTGTGAGGTATGGTGGTGATGGTGTTTCTATACCACTGCATTAAATCATAAATCGTGTGGCAATGCCCCAGCCTCCCACCCTACCTCCACCCCCTCTGCCCCTCTAGAACAATCTGCTTGGTAATGAATTCTTGAGTTCACTTTATTTGGCACCCACTGGCACTCCCTTTCAAAGATCAGTTTGGGACAAGGGGAAGGGGCAAAATTAGAATCTCTAATTTCCCCTCTAATTTCCCCTCTACCATTAGCCACTGCACAGCCAAGGATATATTTTGCATGAATGAATAAAGTAATCAGAATTCAGGCATTCCCTTTATATAACATTCTCTCTCTGTGTGTCTCTCTCTCTCTGTGTCTCTCTCTGTGTGTGTGTGAGTGTGTGAGTGTGTGTGTGAGTGTGTGAGTGTGTGTGTGTGTGTGTGTGTGTGTGTGTGTGTGTGTGTGATTTTTTTTTTCTGGGCCCAACTAGGGAGGTAAATGATAAAGAAGAAAAAATGTTTTAAGTAGTTGGGTTTTTTGTGAGTATTTGCTTGAGGAGGCTTTCTCTATGTAATCCCAGCTGTCCTGGAACTTTCTATATAAATTAGGATAGCCTCAAACTCACAGAGAGCTGCTCCTCTCTGCCTCCTGAGTGCTGGGATTAAAGGATTGTTCCAGCATGCCCACCTTGATTGGTTTCCTGAGACAGGCTCTCATTCATAGCCCAAATTAGCCTAGAGTTTGGGATTTGCACTCTCCACTCCAGTCTCAGCCTCCCAAGTGCCCAGGTTACAGGCATCCATTGCCACACCTGGTTCAGGGTAAGGTGTGAGTTTGGGGATTAAGCAACCCACTTAAAAGCCTTAAGTAAAGTTTTTCTTTTAAGTTATTAAGAACAGAAATCAAAATATGAGTTCATCAGCAGGATCAGGGGTATAGGCTGTTTTTCAAAAAAGGAAAAAAGAGTAACAACAGGTTGGTGGTGGGGCATACCTTTAGTCCCAGCACTTGGGAGACAGAGGGAGGCAGATCTCCGTGAGTTCGAAGCCAGCCTGGTCTACAGAGTGAGTGCCAGGACAGCTCCAAAGCTACACATAGAAAACCCTGTCTCGAAAAACCAAAACCAAAACCAAAAACAAAACAACAACAACAACAAAAAAGAGTAACCAAAGGCAACACTTTCGGAATCCAGACTTAGACTAGGCCTGCTTCCTGCTCAGTGTGAACAGGAGGAATCTCAGTTAATCAAACTGGAGCTCCAGCTAGGCATTCATTTGCCATTTCCCAGAGGGAGGACCTGGTGCTTACAGCGACAAGCATCTGCCAAAGTCCTCCAATGTTGTATGCCATCTGTCTGTCGCCAGTGTGTACTGAATTAACAGATGCTTGTGGGTCTGCAGTCGATCCTGCCTAGAAAGAGCCACAGGACCAGCCTTGGTCCCCAGAGCAACCACATTCTCTGTGAGCTGGCAGGCCACAGGTGCACAGGTAAATTAAGAGAATTCCAAGCCTTGTAACAGACCTGCTCTTCCTGGTTTCCCTGAGTCACAATGACGATACTTCCAGGAATTTTTACAAAGGCCCAGAAGCATTTGTTCTTTCTTCAGAGTTCAGGAAGTGCGAGAGTAGGGTGGGTGGGAAAGAGACTAGAGAATACCAAGAGTTATAAAGTGACCACAAATACCATGGCATCCTGTGGCTAGGTGCTTGAATATTGCAAATAATACTGTGTTGACAGTTCAAGACATCTGAAGCTCTAGGTGAAACGGAAACCAATGGCTATCACATTTCGCCATAGTATGTCAGCTCAGACCCTCTGGTATGAGAAATCACCTTCAAACAGTGTCCCACGGATTGATTCTTAGTTCCCTCTTCTCATAGTCTGGGTAGGCACAACACACTGAAATGATTTAGTCCGTCTCAGCTCACCACAGACATTTTTTTTCCTGCTGATTATCTATTTAGGCTTGTTACAATGCCCATTTTCCTTATCTCTGCCCGGAGGCAGAGATAACACTGAAGTGAATTTAAAAAAAAAAAAATGAACCAGAAAGAAGAGAAATAAACACCGAGTAGCTGTTGCCCTAAGTCTGGCCAGAAAACACAGCCGCCTCTTCTGAAAGGTCAGGAGTGTACTCAGAGAAGAGGGCAGTTTAGAGGGAAGGAGGGGATGTGGGTGGGGTTGATGCTTGAGAAAGTCGGTTCCAGGTCCCATCACACAGTTTGCTTGCTCTTGCTTTTCATGTGCAAACCAAGAGGCTTCCCAGAGGCTGGGCTTCCCAGAGGCTGGGCGGGGCTGGGCTCCTACTGGCGGGATTTGGCCTCTGGCGGCTTCAGATGCCAGCGCGCAGCTGGAAAGTTGCTCATCTCCAGCCTATTCCCGAGGATGGACCAGACATAGAAGACTGGAGACCTGTGCCGTGAGGACTGGGGAGCACGAGCCGGCAACTCTGCGGGAGAAACTGGCGAATCTGGGGGAACCAGGTCCGCCTCTCGCTCCTGGGCTTTCAGAACCGCATTGCTTCTCCCTCTCCCGAGGTAATTCTTCCCGCCTGGAACTGAAAATAATGAACCTATGGATGAGTTGCGTTTTCGCTTTCACTGCGCTCAGTGTGGTGATTTTTGTGGTCTTTTATCAAAACCAGCTAAGCCCGTCCAACTTCTACCAGCCTCTCAACAGCTCCAGCCAAAAGAAGTCTGTCATCGCCTGTGATTACGGCTTGCAAAATCTTACGTTCTTCATGGGGGGGAACACATTGCCACATCCTTTGGGAAGAATCTCTTGCCAACTGTACCAGACCCACAGTCATTATATCACCAGACCCCTGTCCAAAGAAGAGGCTGCCTTCCCCCTGGCCTACATTATGGTGATCCACAAAGACTTCAACACGTTCGAAAGGCTCTTCAGGGCCATTTACATGCCCCAGAATGTCTACTGCGTGCACGTGGATGAAAAAGCCCCCGGGAAGTTTAAAAGGGCGGTGTGGCAGTTACTGCATTGTTTCCCGAACGCGTTCCTGGTTTCTGAGGCTAAGAAGGTGGTCTATGGTGGCTTTTCCCGCCTCCAGGCTGACCTGAACTGCATGAAAGATCTGTTGGCCTCCAAAGTCCCCTGGAAATATGTCCTCAATACCTGCGGGCAGGACTTCCCCCTGAAAACCAACAAGGAAATAGTTCACCATCTGAAAAGATTTAAGGGGAAAAACATCACCCCAGGGGTGCTGCCTCCAGAGCACGCCGTTGTTCGGACTAAATATGTCTACCAAGAACAAAGAGGCAAAGGCGGTATCTATATGAAAAAAACAAATTCTTTGAAAACTCCACCCCCACACCAGCTGACCATCTACTTTGGCACGGCCTACGTGGCCCTCACCAGAGACTTTGTCAGCTTTGTCATGACTGACAAAAGGGCCCTTGATCTCTTAGAGTGGTCTAAAGATACCTATAGTCCCGATGAACATTTTTGGGTGACACTCAATAGGATTCCAGGTCAGTGCTGAATTGTCATTGACAATGTTTCTTTAAGTTGCATCTTTACGCTTTATTTTCAGATTGCAAATGTGTGTCTGTGTGGGAGACATTCTGTTGGTCCATGACACAGGTCCCAGGGATTGAACTCAGGCATCAGGCTGGGTGGCAAGTGCCCTTTCTTGCCCATCCATCCATCTCAAAGGCTCCATGGATACTTCTTAGTGAGTTCTAAGAACTCCTTCATTTAAGATACTTGAAAAAAAAATGCTTAAGTTCTTGAAAATGATGACTTTGGTTGCCTTTACTGACAGTTTTATGCTGGCTCTGTGGCCTTATAACTGTCTGAGAGGCAGTGAGTGACCTAAGGGATACCTCAGGAATTGGCGAAACTGTGTTTGTGCCTCCTACTGTTTTGGGGTTTCACCCTGCCTTTGGAATAAACCCGGGTCATAGTCCCAGATAAGTACTGAAGTCTTTTGTTGTTGTTGTTTGTTTGCTTGCTTTTGTTTTTTTGAGACAGAGTTTCTCTGTGTTGCCCTGGCTATACTTAGGAACTTTCTCTGTAGACCAGACCCGGCCTGAAACTCACAGAGATCCACCTGCTTCTGCCACCACTGCCTGGCCAAGGACTCAAGTCTTAAGTGCTGGGAGATAGGTTTTTAAGTAAGCACTCTAGAACACATGAGGTGAAACAGGCTGTTTCCATCTGAGGGAAGTAACTGAGTAAACTCCATGCAACATTGTGGGTGGGGCTGTTTCTAGCACATTGGAAACCTCTTGAGATGTTTACAAACAGTCACTCTTGATTCACTCCGGTGCCCAGGTCTCAACTAGTCTCTCTTGAACAAACCTAACCTGACATTTTGTTGCCTAGAGGGGTGAGTAGTGGATTGGAGACCTACACACAGGAAGTTTACTTGCTTGTGGCTGGAGTGGGCAGTAATTTCTTATTAGCAATTCCTGTTTACAGCCTTGCATTTTCACATAAGGGAAGTCTTTTTCATGGTTTATGGTGATTTGGAAACAGAGCCAAGGTATACCATGGGGTGGGGGCCATAAGCAGGTGACAGTAACAAACTCCTCCTTTGAGTCAAACCTGGGCTGCTTTTCAAAACTGTTTCGTGTACGTTGTGAGAGCTGCAGGGGAACGTCCCAGTACACTGGTTTCCAGTATTCTACCAGGCGGCTTGTGGGTGTCAATTCTAGGTAAGGATGGCCCTATGCCGCCATTCTTGGAATAGTTCCTGGCTCTCTGAGTGGCAGCCTTATCTCTGACACACTTTTAAGAGCTGTTGGAAGCTACCTTCATACTGGAGTCAAAGTTGGACATATTTAGATCCCCGATAATTCAACATTCCTAAAAGCTGAGCTAGAAGGGTAGTGACAGAATTTTCCTTAGAGGCAGAAAGTGGACAAGCCTGGTGTCTAGGGAGAGACATATAGGCTGTCCCATGAGAGTTTATTTCAGAGATGCCAAGTTTTCAGGTCACAAGGATTATTCACAGGAGGGGAAGTGAGCCCATCATCATGGTGCCTTAATAACTCTAGTCTACCAGGTTCTTTTTGTTCTTTAATCTTTTATTTTGTTACTATTGTGTTAATGTCTATGGCATATGTATGTGGGCCCATGTGTAGAGAGGTCGGAAGACTGAACCATTATGCACCTATACCTGCTGAACTATCTTGCCCAACTGACCCATTTCTGTTTAAGACACTTAGGCATTCTGCACAGGACACCTGTTATTGTTGTTGGTGTACTTTGTACCAGATGTTAGGTTCACCTCTGTTATCTTCAGGTGTAGGTGAGCAGAGCCTTAGATTAGAATAGTGCTAGTACACATGTAGGTCACACAGTCGGTCCCAGGTCAAGCTGGCCCTAGATTCAAGGAGCCCGAAGTTTCAACTATTTCAGTTGCATCAGGAAAAGAAGGGATAAACATTTGTATTTCCCTCCATATCAGAAAGAAGCATTCTACAGAAAGGATAAAGGATTGGGGAAAATGAGAAGGACTTGGGAAGTAATCTGACTGACCTGGGAATTAGGTTAGCAAGGACGTGTGTGTGTGTGTGTGTGTGTGTGTGTGTGTGTGTGTGTGTGTGTGTGTTGGAAGGCAGCAAGCAGCCTGTGAGGCCTTTTGGTCCCCTGTGTTAGAGTCATCTCTAAGTAAAGGTATCCTTTTTGGAATTAGTTATCACCACCCCCTCCGGCCTTTGGTACCAGTTTCCTTGTGTCCCCTGAAGCAGGCTTTGGTCCGGCTCCTCTTCTCTAAGCCAGGCAGTGGACATGGGGAGTGTCCATCATGAATGTTCTCAGGGGCTGGGAGTGGGTCCAGCAACTGGGCCAAGACGGTGTCCATAGCAACTGTGGCAATAAGAGAAATGATGCTTACCCTTTTGCCACGCCCTCTCGCTTTCTCCCTGTCACTTGGTGTCTGCACTTGACTTCATGTGTCACTGTGTCCTCTTAATAGACTTTCCGGATCAAGAAACAAGAACAAGGTTGGCCAAATCCTTACTGGATTCTTATTCTCAGGGTCAATGTCCCTCATGATTCCCCCCTTATCTATAGCCCAGCCCCCACAGTGGCTTCAGATGAAACCGTAATCAAACCAGTTATGAATCTGACAGGAGATATCGGAAGCCAGGACGTGGGTCTATGAGGAGTTTCTATTGAGGTGACTGACACTCAGATTTAAGCTCTGAAAGGTCGTTGTCATTTCACCATATCCAGCCGGCAGTGTCACCACTCCGGTGAAGGGTTCTTTCCTTTGTCTCTATGTTCTACATTTGTGGGTTGCCTTCAGTAATAAACATGGGACGCCCCGTCCTCCCTCCCTCCCTCCCTTCCTATTTTGATTTGCTTATTTTTGAGACAGTTTTATGTGGTGCAGACTGGCTTTAAGTGTGTTTGGTGGCCCGATGTGACCATGAACTTTTGATTCTCCTTCTTCCACCTCAGAGGCTGGCATTGCAGGCTGCTGATACTATTCCCACTTTATGAGGTGCTGGGGATTGGACCTGGTGTATGTGAGGCAGACACTCTGACCAACTGGACTACATCCCCAGCCCCAGGAGATCTTTGTAAAGGAGAAAGAAAATGAAGTGTCTCAAGGACTTCCCTTTCACACAGGGTGGAAAAGAAATATTTCCAAGTAATGAGCTGTTCTCCTTTATCTTTTCATTGTAACGTGTGCACATGCCATCAGTGTGTTGGATTGGCTCAAACATGCCGTTAGTGTGCTGGACTGGCTCAAACATGTCATCAGTGTGTTGGATTGACTCCATGTTTTCAGACATCAACAGTTTCTTTAGTTCTGCACAGTAACTGTTCTATGTGCTGAGGGCGCAGCCAGAAGCAGACACAACTCCGGAGTTGAAGTTTGCTGAGTTGAACGGATGAGCAGGAAGTATTTGTGTTTGTTTTGATTTGGAGCTAATTTCCCCCCACCTTAATTAACCCCTCAAGTTGCTTTGCTTTGCAATTTTTATGGGGGGGGGGCACTGTGGTTTTGTTGTTGGTTTGGATTTTGTTTGTTTTTATTTTCTTTGAATATCTGTTTCTATTTTTAAAATATTGAGTTGGAGAGGTGGTTCACAGTTAAAAGCACTGGCTGATTTTTTAGGGATTCAATTCCCAGCCCTGAATGGTGGCTCACAACCGTCTATAATTGTATCTCAGTCTCATGGGATCAGATGACCTTTTCTGTGTGAAAATAGTTGTGCTTGTAGACAAAAATCCATATACATAAAATAAATGGCTTGGAAAAATAGGAGGGAACCAACTGTGTAGTTCAGGGACCAGAATACATGTTCAGCATACACAATGCCCTGGGTTCAATTCTCAGTGCAAAAACAGATTTGAAAAAATATTCAAAGGCAGAAGATTATGTTCTGCCAGCCACACAATGCAAGAACTTATTGTTTCTTTGCATTTCCTCCCTTAGGTATTGTATTATGTTTTTGAATAATACTCCTAACAAAACACCAAGTAGGAAATATTACACGTAAGTGTTTTATAAGCTCACCAGGGAAAAAAAAAAAAAAAAAAAAAAGGTCTTTCTTTTAGTCCCCATGCTGCCTTTAGGAACAAAATTCTGCATTTGTTATTTAAACAGGTGGTAGATAGACATGTGGGGAGCTATTTTTAATTCAAAAGCCAATTACTTATTCTGAAGCATTTTAAAATCTAGGTCTCAAGAGTTCTGCGAGGCTTGGTGACTGGGGAATTTTTGTCCCAGTGTGAGATGGTGGCAAGTGTCCACTGTGGTCAGGCAGGCTTGTGAACACATTCCATTCCTGCTTAAAGCTTTGCCATGGCTCCCCATTATCTTCAGGGCCATGGCCTTGACAGTGGCATGACCTCCTCACCCATTGCCCTACCCTCATCTCTTTTCATGAAATGACCCACACTTCATACTTCAACTACTACTTGACCCTAGCACTTCTGCAACATACACCTTTCTATTTAGTGTTGTTTTATGACACCCTGTCATTAAGGATTTTCTTTCGACCATTCAAATCCAACCTCCCTTCATGCTGTGTGACCGCAGTAAATGACACGTCGTCTCTGGCCTTTCTGGTACCCTCCTACCGGACAGCTGGTGCTCTTCTATAGCCAAGGCTGCTTCTTCCAGGACCGAGTAACAGTCACCCAGTAGTAAGCATCTCCTCGCCCCACCTCTTCAGCATTTGAGCCTCTAAGAGCAAGACACGTGACATCCATCTTTGTGTTCCCTGTCAGGGCTGCACAGCACACATTGCCACTAGTCTCCGTGCTCACAGAAAATACACAGAATGCTGGATAGCTATAGAGCTTGAGGAAGGTCAGAGAAGAGCTGAACAGTTAAATATAGGAATGGCTTCCAAAAAAGTGTCCTGTACCTGAGGTGGGGATAAATTTCGATAATGAAGAAATAAAGAGAATGCTAGGTAATACGTTTCAGTGAGGCACACAAATGGTTTCTATCAGTGAGGGAGGGGAAAGAGAGGTGGGGAGGTACACTCAGTAAGCTCCAAAG